GACTGGTCTCCCCAAAGTCCTGACTGGAACCATCCAGAACCTGTGGACTGATGAAGGAACAAGTCTGAGTCACAAAGACGACGAGTTTAGTTGAACTGCAGCGGTTCTGTCCAGAGGAGTCAGAGATGGACCAGAAGCTGGTGGACGGAACCAGAAGAACCCGACTGAGATAAAGAGAAAGAACCAAGCAGCACAATTGTTTATTGTTTCAATGATTCCATCCCAGAAGGTGTCGGGTGTAGATGGTCATTAGATGCACATGTTCTTCTATCTGCTGTCAGTGTGCTGGATGTGCCAGCATCAGTCAGACCTGCTGGTGTCCTCAGACCCGTCCACTGGCTGAACAATGTTCACACCCTAAGATCTCTTAATAGCAGGCAGCATCCAGTGTTGAAATACAGCAATGTTTAAGCGTGAAAGCCAATTTCCACGGGCAGCAGCGCTCACATTGTTATGTGCAACGTGTTGAATATTCCAGCGGATCTATTTTTGAATAACAACCTTTTAATGAAGTGCAGCTGAGCGACTCGGGCACAGGAGGCAGCGAGAGGCGGCGCCGAGAGATTGAAGCTGGAATCTTTTCACGTCATTGCAGATTCCAAATTGCAGAGAATTGGATTTAAAACGATGTCTGAGCTGCAGAGTCCCAGTGAGCTACGGCTGACATAAAGCATCGGTCTGGGCTGACAGAACAAACTCATACACACTCATCTGAATAAATTAAAACACACTCATGGATGTATCCCCCAGTAAATTTCATCAGCAGGTGGTTTGCTACAGATGAACGTGCGCTGAAGGTAAATTTAGCGTTTGCATATTGGTGAAATTAACACGTGACGTCGTGTTTGACGAACACGTGCAAAGTGTTTGATGTGAGTAAGCGCTGCAGCGCTGCGTGATAATTGGCTCAGCAGCACATTTAATGGGAGCTGAAAATGAAATCCCACAAAGAACAGAGAGCAGAGGAACACTTTTAAAATATCTTTATTTATACACAGTTTCCGTCATACCACAATGAACAGAGGAACAAGAAGAATCAGGTTAACAAAAGCAGGGGCAGTGAAGGAAACGCATACAAACATCCCTGTGGCTCTGACCATAGCCGGTAGTGGTTCTGTACCCGACCGTTGACTATCTCCATCACGGCTTAAAGGTTCTTTTATCGTTTGCTTTCTCTCCTCCGATATTGATTCTCAATGTGAGACATGTAAACAATCAGTTTAAGCTCATTTTTGGTCCAGATGTGTGTGACGGCTGCAGCATCAGTCTACATGGAGAGTTCAGGCTTAAGAGCTGCGGTAGATGGTCTTTCTAAATTTGGCAGTTTTTTATTTTTTTCCCTGAAGCCTCACTTTGTTTGCCTCTGTTGTTAAAAAATACATAAAATACACAAACTGCTGGACACACCTGACTGGGGAACAAAGAGACTCTGTTTGGCACCAGTGAACGAAAAGCCATCAGAAGCAATTTACACGTCTGTTTATGATTCAGCTTTTGAGCCAAACAGGTCGGGCTACATGACAGCGAGTGGGAAGAGACGTGAGCAGAGGAGCGCACGATGCTGGTGGGATGAGGACGGGTCATTCTGCGCGACAAGGCGGGAAACTCCACACCAGGGGTCTCATGTATCATGCAGGGGTCTTTCTCATGCTTAGATCAGGCCTCGCCTCACGCATGCACACGATATATAAAGAAAGGACACGTTTGGGCCCCCGGGGCTCAGAAATCCTCGTAGTGTGAACTTGGTTTCTGTTACAGAAGGATGTCGGCCCTGAGATGACCAAGGCAAGAGGGCGTTCAACCGTTCCACGCACAGTCAAGTGCTGCATATTCTCTATATGACACTGAGTAGTAGAAAACGACGGATAAATAGTGGAAAGACATATAACAAGGTTTGCTGATACCAAAGCTACCAAAGATTCAGCCAAACGTTATAGATCTCTTCTTGGGGCTAATCTAAACATAGAAATGTCCAAACTGTCTACGGTAGTAAAAGCACATTCAGTTCATAGTATAAAATCTGCAGGTAACTTCTCTTTTTCAAACATATTTACAAAAAAAATCAAATGAAACGGTGACAGCAGAGGGTCAGACATCTGTCCAGACAGAAACAACATAAAACGGGAACAAAAAAACCCTTTTTCTGATTAGAAACTTCTCTTCAGAGTAAACGTACGACAATTATATATTAGTTTATATCGTAATACTAATCTTTACAATGATACCAGACGTGTACTGCATCCTAGAGTCTACTGCTCGTACAGAGTCAGAAAGTAAGCATGCAACAGAGATCTGCTTTGTGCATATGGAAACAGCATCTTTAAAACATTGTCTTTCAGTTTTCTGACCCTTTATCCTGCATTGAAACAGGCCTTCACAGCGTTTATTCTGCTCCTCGATGCCGATAAACTGTCGTCACACGTCCTACAAAACAACAGATACAAACAGGTCCGTGTCCAGGAGGTGTGTCGGACCAGAGGGGGAAAAACACAACATAGAAATGCAGTTTTCCACTTTGGCACTCATGTAACAGCTTACTAACTCTTTTTTTGTACGAATAGAAATATAATATACACATGTAGCAGGTCAGGAGCAGATGAAGCCGGGACAGAGCAGAAAATCGTGTTCCGTTCTTGTCGTGCATTGCAGCTTGTTGTAAGACGAGGGAACGTGATGAGAACAGATCGTGTCTTTAATACCTAAAGAGATAGTAACTGATACTGAGACACATTCATTCACAAGATAAAGGCTGCAGGTTTGGAGGAGCACAGATACAGATTCAGAGTTAAAAAACATATCGTGAGATGCTCGGGGGGAATCGATGCGGGAATATCAGTGCCATTTTTCACTCCTTTCAGATTGTAGCCCACAAACATCATGGTAACTCCTCCCTCCTCAGTCATTTCTGTACACAGGTATTGATAACGAGTCGACAGAACACTGCAGAGGTCTGCTGGCGGCGGGATATTTGGTGGAGATCGGAGGGAACCTGTATTCGGTGACAGTCATGCGTTCTTCCAGCTCCCCGCCTCCCCTCATACCACGCTGTGCAGGGACGGATGGCTGAACTGAGGGTTGATGTAGGAGAAGCCGGCGAACTCGCTCTGGTCGATGTTGGCGATGACCAGCTGGTCCGGAGGGGTCAGGACGGGCTGAGTGCGTGTGAAGAACTTGTCGAAGTTTTCTGCTCCTTTGCCGCACTGAAAGAGACAAAGAGGACGTGGACAGGATGCTATTTTGATCAGACGGTCTGGTGAGCAGCACTCGTGATTAAAACAAAAAGAAAATAAAGGCTTTTCCTCATGAGTGTTTTATTAGAAAGCTTCTCACACAGTCCCAGAGGGAAGGTGGTGAAACATGTCCAGGCCTGCTGTCGATCCAGGCACAAGCTGTGATGAGATGAGACCCCGAGCAGCAGCCTCACTGGAGGTCCTTAGCATCAGGGTGCAGCTCTGCTAGCGGCTGCATACATACTGTATATGGATCTGTGTGTGTGTGTGTGTGTGTGTGTGTGTGTTGCACAGCAGCAGCAGCACAGTCATGACACTTGCAAGAGTAATGCACAGCAAAAGCAGATCTGTCGTCTGCCTGCTGTTGACACTTCCTCAGGAGACACATCAGCATGTGAGGCATCTTCAGCCACTCTGTCACATCACAGAGCCTCACATGGATCCTTTGTCTGCCAGTTCCTTCAGACCAGGGAATGACGCAGCGTATGAGTGCACAACTGGGAAACAACCACAAAAAGCCCCCTGAATGGATGCATCCACTTCTAGCCCTGTTCTCGTCCTGCCTCTTGAGTGAGAGGAGGCAGATACATCCGCTGCGTTTGTGTGGAAGTGAAGGGAACTCTGCTCTCTCAGGGCTATTTTTAAACCCTCGGTGACAGCGGTCGTGTTGCTGCAGGCGCCGCGGCCAGCGAGGGGGATGGATGAGGGGTCCGCAAACAGAAAAAGAAGCGTGTGCGGTAACAAGCGGAGGTTTAGGTGGCTGCAGCTGGGTGCATAGAAACAATGACGCTGGCTCCAGATGAATGAGAGCATCAGCAAACATTCACACACAAAGACTCGCTGAGGAAGTACTGAATTTTTCAAAAGACACGCTTAGAAGAACGACACACTGCATGCTGGGAGGCGAGCATGTGGGAAATAAACACACAGCAGGAGGCTTTATGGCCCTTTTCTGATGCTTGATGTGACTATTAGCTCCTGCCTGCATTTCCTTCTGCATCAACATCCACCTGAATGAATGAAGGGCTATTTTGAGGTGCACATAAACATCAGCTAAGTACCAGAAAATGCTCTCGGCTCAGAGGGAGACTGCGCATTAATAAAGAAATGTGGAGCCAAGATGTCAACAATCTGTGAAGAAGTGTTCATTTTATGATACGATCTCTTTAAAAGGAAGAACACGAGTGTGTTTCTGCACAAGATGACGTACAATAAGACGTCTTGCCTGATGCTATGGGCAGTATTGGGCAAAATAACATTGAAATGCTGCAGATCACTGACTAAGGTCATGATGAATGTGAGCACAGTGGTGCAGGATGCTTGTTTAATCCAGTCTCTCACCACTTTGGGTTTGAATGGCGGCTGGATCTCTCTGTTGGCCAGCCGCTCCCAGTCGATGCGTCTGAAGAAGGCCTGCTCCCTGATGTCCCGCTCGCCTTCTGGGCCGCAGCCGAGGCGCTTCGACGGGTGTTTGGTCATCAGCTGGAAACACACGAAGGCAGGGAGCGATAAAAGGGCGACAACACCGTTGAAGCTGATACACAACAAGCCTGTTTGCTTCCTGCCTGCGTTATTTAGTCGGCAGCATTATGCAGAGCCGGCTTTGAAGACAGTGGGTACCTCTCCACGGCTCCGTTCTGAATTCAGCAGCCACTTTTAATTTCAACCATGAATCATTCTTTGCAAATGAAATGTGAAGCAAACAATGAGTGGGGTCGGGATAATCTCTGCTGTCAGCCGCTCTCAGATGATGAATGATAGTTGGGGTGGCGGCACGCAGCCACAGGATGTAATATCACAGCAAATGAAGGTGAGCTGAGTTATTAAAAGACTCGATCAGACTGTGTCTGAATTTTAATGGAATCTGCTCTGGTTTGCAAATTGAGTCTGAAAAGTCACTTCTCTGTCAGTAAACAACAACAACAATCAGGAGAAGCGTGATGCTGCTGCTCTGTTCCCCTGAACAGCTTCCAGGTGTGAGCGGGAGAACAGGTGGGCGCTAAATTCAATAAAGACAGAAAAAAAAGGAGTTTTGAAAGCCGCGGAAATTTGTGACTAGAATGTGCCGGCTGTGTTGGAGGTGCAAAATCATTTCCTGCTGTAGAGATTAAAAAAAGCAGAAAGCCGTCTTAGACGGATGCTCAGTGTGACCGTCTGAACCACCGGACTTTCAGGGTTCGGGTTAGAGCCACAAACCACCCAGAGTTTGTTGGTTCACTTATTACTCAGTTATGTTCATTTTCAGTCACTCTTTGTTTCAGTTTCAGCACTGAAAGTAAAAAAAAAAAGAAAAGATTAAACTTCTTCCTTTTGCAACAACCGGCTGCTTCGATTGCATCATCGTCAAACATGGAAGATCGGATTTGTTGACGTTTTAAATGGATTTCATAAACTGAAGTC